TACTTCATAGGGGTAGATGACTTGATCTTCACATGTTATGAATTGCAGATAGGCGACTAACGATGGGGCGACATAGCACCCGGCCTACTGGTTCGCGCACCCACGAAGGTGTATAGCATGTAGTTGTAGATGGGGCTACCTGGGAGTCAGAGGGACCTGACCGCCAGCTAGGGGGGCGAGTTGTGACATTTGAGTGTGTACTCTCTCGCGCCTTATATGTGTGCATGTGTGTGCGTATGTGTATGTGAGTAGCATGTCAGCGATGTAGAGTGGATGGCGATATGTATTCGCACGACAGCTGTCATGTAGTTACGAGTCGGCTCACGAAGTTCAGACGCTTACTATATTTAGCCGTAAAGTTAGGGTTCCGGTCACGAGGGGTATACAGTCGGGGACGGCTCGAAGAACGTCAGTTCTTCGAGTCGAGCCTGGAAGCGTTGGGAGCGTAGAGTGACTTTCCCTTTTGCGTCGATCTGGATTCTCCGAGTGTGGAGTGGGTTGGGCTTGACTCATGTTTGTGACGGTGACGGTTTGTTGCCAGTAGGGTAATTGACCGACGGGAATTCCAGTGGGGAATCTCCCGTATATTTCAGTTGTGACATTTGAGTGTGTACTCTCTCGCGCCTTATATGTGTGCATGTGTGTGCGTATGTGTATGTGAGTAGCATGTCAGCGATGTAGAGTGGATGGCGATATGTATTCGCACGACAAAGCTCTTGCATACTTAAATAGTTCATATATATATATATATATATGAATTATTTAAGTATGCAAGAGATTTTACATATTTTAAACTTTAAAATTTAAATACTAATTTAGTATTATAATAACTATCGAAATTTTAATATATTATAATTATTTTTATTATATAGTAATTTTAATATATAAATATTTTAATATTAAAATTCATATATATATATATATATTTGTATATAGCTTATAGTATTCTATAGCAATATTAGATGAGAACAAAACATGAATTTTGTAATTCACAATGCGTGTGATTAATATAATGCAATGTTCAAATTGCATGATAAATCATTGCAAAAAGAATTATCTTCCAGACCTTTGTCCTCACTTCTTGATCAGCTAACAACTGTATTGATTTTGGCTATGTGATGTTGTTAATCATGACCAAATTAATCGTAGACGAGGCCAAGAGTTGGATCGACAAGGATCAATCCACGAGCTTCCTTCTATGACTAGCTCAAATCTATTCTTAAACTCTCAATACAACGTGATGGTGAGTGCAGAGTTTCATCGGGTAAAATGAATCGTTTAGGTTTTTGTCAAGTGTTTTACGTTTTGTATGAGTTCTATCAAGTAATTTACTCCTATCAGATTAACATATAGTGCAACATCAGTTGATGACTATCAAGAATTTACATTAAACTTTTTGAAGAGTTTGATAATACATAGCTTGTAAATATATATAAATTAATCAAAAATATACAATCAATTAATGCCATAAGATAAGTACAAAAGTACTTTTGAAAAATTAGACAGTGCAATTTTATGAAATAGTGAAACAATAAAATTTGAAAGCATTTGGATTGAAGATTGCTAATGAGTTTTATATAAATAGGAATTTTCTTATCTATATAAAATAATAGCAAACTCAACAGTGTAATAATTTTCCACCTCTTCTTCCGAAAGCAAAACATTAGAAATTATTATTAAAATGATGTTAATGAATGATATATGACCACTAAACACTACATATGCAAATGCTTATTAACAGGATTTTGTAGATTAGACATTCTAAAACTAGATGTCTAATATACCTAATTCCAAATTTGCATCTCGACTAGTTTCACAACGACAAATTTACAAATGACATGAAAAAAAAACGTTTGAGCGCGACTTGATCGTGCATTACATCGTTCAACACGTCGCATCAATAGTAATATGAACTTCAAATTTCAGAAAGAGATGTTAATACGAGTATTGTCATTGCCGTTGCATGCAAATATTATATATCATTTGGTCGTGAGTGCAAGATTGATGTGAAACGCCTAAAAATGACCACAAAGAAGACGTTTGATCAAGCGTTTAGTTTGGAAAACTATTGAGTTCATTCAAAAGCGAGCATCCACTTTGTTGTAAGGAATATCATGCACTCCTTAAAGAAGTAAACTGGTTTACTTTGACGTTGGAACGTAATTTTGTCACACCTTAACGGAATCACGGAGCATGTAAACTACATCATCGACAAGGGCATAGTTGAGACACATACACGCCATGTTCAATGTCACAAGCTGGCTCAATGATCATTGCCACAAAATCAATATCCATTATTTTGAAATTCCAGTGGTATCTTTTTAGTTTGCATCTCAACATGGAAGTGATATCTGATGGGTTCTAAATGCTGTCACAAGAAGTATCACAAGTGCCATACACACGACGGTGATGGAACTCCAAGATAATCGTATAAGGCTTTGCCAACAACAAACACATGTTAAAAAGATTAGTGCATTTTGCAACTTCAACTTTGATAATGTAAATAAATTCACTTATGTTATCTACAAAGATTGGCCGACTTCCTATATTGACATCATAGGCTTCATTGAAGATCTTTGACATTTTGCTTTGATGACAATCAACAATATCATTGAACGAACTTACGTATTACTTGTTTGTATTGTTGCCTTACTTATTTTTGACATGGTTGACGAATCTATGAAATGCGTAGCAATGCGAGATGAACGCGGTTCAAGCAACGATCTTGATTGTATATCAGTGTATCTTTTTGAAGTTTAAAGTTCATGATATCAGCCGCCTTAATATCCAACAAAAGTTTTGTCTTGATTGCAGTTGGTTTTACTTCAAATTTTTTAAAATTGAGTCCCAATTTGCAAAGCTCTGCATCATGTATAAGAATATCTCAACGTGCAAGTAAGCCATAGATTCCTGCAACCACAAATGTTTGTTTGACAATGCATGGTCACTACCATGTCTATTAACTCGCCGATCGAGAGTAAAATCTCAATGTTGAAATTTTGGAAGTACTTATTTAACATGTCATTGATTGATTTTGTTTTGAAAATATATATTCAATGTAAATATTATGATCTTTTGCACACATTGAAGCAATAAAATCTGCAATTTTTTGTTTTCATGTTTTATTTTATGATAAAATTTTTAGTAGTTCATATTTCTTGCAAATGCATTTGAGAGTCTGCACTTCAACAACTAAAATTTATCGAAGCTTCCTTCGATCAATCTAAGCTATTGGAGTGTGTGTATAGAGTCATGATTTGGGAGTAAACACAATTGAAATCATGAAGCAAAATCAAGGTCGACTTGGAAGAAAGTAAAATCAGAATCTAGAAGCGGCTCAAATTGAACAAGATTGATAGTACAACAGTTGTTCAAGGTTTTCAATTTCAGCGTTCGGAAAGTTGTCAAAGGTCGACAACACGGAAGTTGTCCAAGGTCGGCAACATAAAGCGTGACTTCGAGAAGTACATCCACAAGATCGCATTTCAATGTCACCTCATGAGTTCAATTTACTACAAGTGACTGTTGATATTCGACATGATCATGATTTTGGACGTGGATGTTGCAATCAAGCAACATTGGGATGAGCTTGTGTTTGATGATAGTTCACAAATCGACCAGTAATATACCGGCGTGTGTACTTTCTTCGTAAAATTGATAGAAGAATCTTACAATCTAGTTGTTTAAGGTGAAATTTGGCTGAAATTGATCTAAATCTCTTTCCACAGCAATCTCTTGGGCTCTTGTAAGTGGTGATGCCTAATCTTATTAGTCATTATTGAATAATTTGCTTCAGATTAGGCACAAATAGGCGGATGACTAATCTGCAAGTCCTGCTTATTGATTATACTTTAACATGATATAAGCAGGAGTTAGCTGTAAGATTTTTGAAAATGTCACAAAATTTGCATGGAAAACGGTTTGTACTCATTCCTTCTTTAGGCAATAAAGTTAAGGGCTCGAGTGATGTGGATGAATCACATAATTTATTTTCAGTACTGCAGTGTAGTCTAATCTTATCTTGCACCTGGTAGGAGTAAATACACGGCAAAGATGAAACGTTTGGATTGTCCTTCATTGTCCTCCGAACGTACAGGAAAAGGTTTATTAAAAAGAAATTATAAAAAATTTACAAGGGGTTTCATGATATTATTGAGCTAGATAAATTTACGCAACCAGTTTTTACTCTATACGTCACTTCAATGGTTGGTCTCAATATTCAAAAGCCGTCCTTCAAAATACGGCCATAGCTGACTCCTACACTCACCTGCTGAAGTGTTGGCTACAACAAAAATGCAGTTTTAAAGCATACAACTCGGAGGAAGAGAAGATGGAGACGAAAAGAGAAAATATTCCGAGATTTATGCATCCACGGAGCCTCGGAGTTCAACAAGAACCCAAGCAAGCGTTCAGACGACAGGACAGGAGCTCGATGCGGTACTCGTAGCTCCCAAAGAAAAGAATGAAATCTCACCCAGAAAAAAAACCCTTTTCGCGGGGGAAGAAACTAAAGAAAACGAGCAGGGACAAAAGAGATTATAATGATCCGACCAGTTAGCGCAGACAGGCCAAAAAGAGGAAGCGACAGCAGCAGCAGCGTCGCCTCGACCCATCGAGTTCCCCACATGTGGACACTGTGCTCACTAGCGGCCGATCCCATAACCACCGTGCCTTCGAAACGCTGGCCCCAAATCCATCTCCGAATCGTCCACACGCATCGGAGTCCCAAGCCAGGACAAGGAGTTGACAATAGCGACCGCCGCGAGCAACCACGGGCATCGGGAGGCGAAGATTCCTCGGTGGCCATGGCTGGAGGACCCGCGCGGCGCGACGACTCAGAGGCGAGCCCGGAGAGTGAGCGCGGCGTGGCTGGCCGGTAATTTTGTCGCTCTCGGGGGCTGCATTATCCTGCGAAATGACGGCTCCTGCGGAGCAGGAAGTGAGAGTGAGAGCTCTGGAGCCCAGAAAAGGGAAAAGCTGCAGACAGCGGCATCTACAGCGACGAAGCCAGGCGCGGCAGAGGGGGAGAGAGACACAGACAGGGAGAGCCTGGCGAGCCGAGCGCGCAAGACCAGGCCACCGCTCCGGGATTGATCTGATCTGATCAGCTCGGCTCGACTTGGCTCAGCTCAGCTCGGTTCAGCTGTGCTCTGCTCTGCTGTGGTGTTCTCTCGCGTCTTCGAGCAGGCAGGGGGGACGCGAGAGCCTTGAGAGGAGGAGGTGGTGAGGTTCGAGGCGGGTCCAAGGGCGAGATGGTGCGCGGAGAGGCGCAATGGGGGTTTGCGCCGACTGGGGAACGAGGAGGAGTAGGAGGAGGAGGGGGGTGAGGCGCAGAGGAGAAGAGGAGGAGCCGAGTCGACTCGGAAAGAAGGTGAGTTGACTTGATTAGATAAGTTCAGCTCGTGACGACGATCGGTGGCGCCCATCGTCGTGGGTAACTTGGGCTGCAAGGTACGGAATCGGTCCAGTCTGAGCTCGTGAAGGGAATGCGAAGACCTGCCCATCCGTGGGCATCCGAGCACTTGCTTCTCTCCTGTGCGTCTTCCGAAGTGGGGCACGAGGGAGGGGACAGATAAGGAGGCGTCGGGAGCCGATTCCGAGCGCATGCAAGTCATACGGGAGGGTTGCGCCGGAGGGTGAGAGCTTCTGTTGGCTTCGTTCCTGCAGGCCGGGCATGGATCCGGTCGAGGAATCGGAGCGGGCGCGGTCGAGAGCGCGGGAGGATGGTGCAGAGGACGGGCGAGCAGTTCGGAGCTGGTGGACAGAGGCGACGGAGGAGGAGGACGAGGAGCGAAGGCGGGACGTCGACATCGGCTCGAGGCTAGAGATTTGACAAAGACGGCTGCCGAGATCACAGTAGCAGAATACCAACATCGCGAGCGGGCAGTAGGAAGGTGCGCCGGGCAGGGTGTTCATGATGCGCGGGGGGCAGTCGTAGGCAGCATGCAGCCATGGAGGAAATCGTGGTGAGTGGCGCCGGTGCCTTGTCTCCGAGACTGGCAGTGGCGACGGCGGCGGCGGCAGCAGCAGCAGGCGGACGGACCTTGAAGAATTGGGCCCCGAGGAGGGCTCTAATCTCGGCGCCGCGGAATGTCCTTCTGCAATTGGCTTCGCACCCTTTCCCATTCCCCGCGGAAGGGCCGGCGTCGCTGAACGAGCCGGCGACAGGGGGAGGGGGACCTGGAGGAAGAGCAGGATCGAACAATGGCGGGGGCACGACGTTCGACACGCTGGACCCGAACGTGGTGATAATTCTGGTGGTGCTGCTGTTCGCGCTCATCTGCGCCGCGTTCCTTAACTCGATCATGCGCTGCGTGATGCGCCGGTCCAACCGGACGGAGGAGGCGGCCGAGGAGCCCCAGTCGGTCCAGGGCCTGGACGCCAAGGCGCTGGCCGTGCTGCCCGTGCTCTCGTTCCGATCGGCCACCATCGGCAAGCTGAAGGAGGGCAGCCCCGCCGAGTGCACCATCTGCCTGAGCGACTTCGTCGAGAACGAGAAGGTGCGGCTGCTCCCGAAATGCAACCACGTCTTCCACATCGACTGCATTGACATGTGGCTGCTGTCCCACGTATCCTGCCCCGTCTGCCGAGACTCCATCGTCGAGGATCCCAAGCTTCAGACGTCGATTGCCGTCCCCGCCTCGTCATCCGACCCCATCGACTCCTCCGCGGCCTCGCAGAGCAACATGAGGGCCGAGCTCCTCCGAGAGCGAGGCGGAAGCAGCAGCAGTAGCAGTAGCAGCAGCGCCAGCGTGGCTGGCCCGAGCGATGCGCTGGTCCTCTACTCCCCGTCGAACGCCGGCGGTGCCGGAGGTGGCAGCAGCAGCAGCAGCGCCAGTCAGCAAGCTGGGGTGCCAGGGTCGAGGCGCGGAGGCAGGGGATCTTCGGTGCGCGCTTCGCTCTACTCGATGTTCGCAGCGGAGAATGTCATGAACCTTTTCACGGCCAGCATCGGACCAGCCTCCAGAGGCCATCATCTCCTTCACCACTCCTCGGCCTCTAGCTCGAATTCCCCCGCCGATCCCCCCCCTGCTGCTGCTCTTAGCGCAGCACCAGCTGCAGGACGAGGAGCAGGCGGGCCAGCCGCTGGCGCAGGAGGCTCATAAGATAAATCACAGTTTCTCACATCCCTTCACATTGATCGGCATTGCCCGAGAAGGCGGACGCGTCAGTCAAGGAGTCTCAGAGAAGATGAAGGCGCAGGATCGATCCGATCGAATCCCTTCAGCTCCCTCGCATTAGAGCTGGCCTATCACTCTGACCGCTCTGGGAAATCGTCTGTCGAGCATCGTGGAAAATACATGATCAGCTCCATAGGAACAGGCAGGCATGCAGGTAAAAAGCACTCGGTCCGTGCGACGCCCGTTCAAGAGATCGGTGATGGTGACGACGAGATCCGAGTCATCGGATTTGAGTCTACGCTCGCCTTCATTGGATGCCGTGGTCCTCGTTCATGCTTGATTTCGCGCCAGCAGGTGGAGTCTTCTACTGCGTAGTGGGGGACGATGCCACGGGTCCGACCATTATTCAGTGGCAGCAAATGTCGAGGACTCTGGACATGGTTGCGTTGTCACCCATGTCCAACAACGCAACCGAGAAAATGATCTGCAGAAAGCGTATTCCTTGCCTCGTCGCTCGCCTCGCTTCGACTATTCGTTTGGAGCGGTGTACGCGTGTTTGTGACGAGTAGGTAGGCACTCACCCCACTTCTCGCTTGAGTTACAGCAGGCGATTCTGTAAATAATTTTGCTGATTGTTGAGTAGTAAAGTCAATGTAGGCCAGGTAGGTAGTTGGTTAGATAGACTCACGATCATCTCCTCAGCATCTAAAGGATCTGAAGATGATCGATCCCATTCTTTTGTAATGTAGATCCAAACAAGAGCTTCGGTCTTGAATAAGTAAATATCTGTCACACGTTTGCATACTTTTTCTCATTCTGCGTTTTTCCTAAAGAGATGGTATAATAGAAATTTATGCCCAGATGATGAAAGATGGTTCTCTGACGTTCTGGTGTCAGCACATTTTCAAAACTTGTTGGCACGATCGATGAGCAGTAGTCCAGATGAAGGCATTCTCTGGCTGTTAAAGGCTGGGATCGAGCAGTCAATTTGAGCTGTCAATTTGAGTCATTTTGAAGTAAAGGTTCAGCAGAGCAATCCTCTTGCCCCATGGTACCATGGTGAGGAAGCACAGTGGGTGACTCTTAGTCTCGAATAGGCTTTGTGGGCAAAAGATTCTGCCTCGCAATGCAATGGCCGACCAGTGCAGATGATTCGGTCGAACTGTCATGGTTTTCGGACCACGAAGGTTGCAAGCAAGAGGAATCTCGCTCGCTCTCATTTTTCATGCTGGCTGCAAGGCAGAAGTGGGTCGTAATTGATGTTCTGTGCTGTGCTGTGCCGAGGGAAAGGTTCGGGGTAGTGCGGTAGATGGTATGGAGGAACTGTGCAGACCAAGTATATTCGAGTAGGTCAATCTGCGCTCGCGAGGCATCTGGTTGACTGTTCGAGAATCACCCTGCAAAGAATGAGTGAATCAATCTGCAGGAGCAGTTGTGCAACGCAGGTAGTGCTCGCCACCTCTGCATCTGTATGAAATCAATCCTCGAGACCCTGGGTTTGGGGATGAAAGACCCTCAGCTCTCAAAAGACAGCAATATTCTCACAAATCACCAGCTGCTTCAGCTTGCACGTCTTTCCAAACTTCGTGTGTTACCTTGGCACTGGAATCTGGACTGTAGGGGGGGGGGGGCGGCTCGTGTCCAGATGAACATCAATCCCGACCGTACAGTCAAGACGAAAATGCATTCGACGTACACACCAAGGAGCCGACTACAGGCATAGCCTGATGGTCAGCTGAGCTCAACAGCAACTTGGATAAGCTCCTAAATCCATTCCAGTACTCGAACTGTCACAGTCAACAGGACTTTGTCCAATCGACCATTTGTCACTTGCTTTCCTTGTTACGGCACTTCCGTATCAGGCCTGGACATGCACTAGATTTGGACATCTGGCCGAGCACGGACACACAATCAACCGCAGTACAGTACTCGATAAACGAGCGGGGTTCATGGCTCTGCCGGGCCCCCACATTCAGAATCTAGTGAAGCTTAAATTTTGGTCTAATGACAACTGGCTGGGCCTAGAAAGCCTACTCCGCCACAAGGTCCAGGGCCAAGTTCAAGCCGAGCCCTCAAGCTCCATCTGAATGCAACACTTGGCTTTGTGCTCACATCCTCCTTCCTCCCTCCCTCCCTCAAGCACAGAAGCCAGATCCCGTAGCGGTCGGCTAAAAGGTCGTCCTGGTACTTGCTGCTGTATCTAGGCGGCACACCATCAGATGACAAATTCTCCAGAAACCGAACTCGTGGGCGAGAAGTAGGCCGTGGGCCAAGATGAATCCCCCTTCCCTACAGTTTCGAATCTGAACGAGGCAGGCATCGACCATGGTAGTGAGAACTACGTACTCTCTTGGAGGACACGGAGAGTCGTCGAAGACCACGTCCCCGTCCGTAAGCAGGGACCATGCCATGTCGCTCAGCTTTCTGAGAAGCTGATGGCGAAGGATATTTCAGTGAGCAGGGTCCGGACATTTCACAGCGGCTGCAGCTTGAAGCTAGAAGCCTAGTTCCGGTCATGGGGTACCGCAATTGTCTGACGCGCACGTCGCCGCTTTATCTCATCAGGAGGTGGATCGTGGGAGAATCAAGTGAATGACTTTGCGTACAGAGCACCTTTTGACAGCCGTTGATTTCTGACTTATATGGAGGTACTACTGGGACTGCTGTAGAAGGGCCCCGCTATATAGCATTGTGGTGGAGTCACCATATCCATGGCTTGTTGGGCGGTCTATAATATCCTCCTGCATACGACACTAAGCGATCTATCAATTTTGTCGAACCGCGAAGATGGAGTTCGCATCCGAGGATTCAGATCAGAACCAGATGGAGTTCGCATCCGAGGATTCAGATCAGAACCAGAGTCACCGGCAGGCACGGGAGGCCTAAGTGGTCCCGTGCAAGGATGCCACTGTCAACTGCTGCTGGACGAGATGGGATCGGAGGAAAGAATGTGTGTGTGTGTGATTGTTTAATCCTCTGAGAAGTGGAGAATTCGGGCACAGCAGAGGAGGGAAGACGAGACCCAAATTCCGACGCAAGGGCGTTTGAGAAGTTTCCAAATTTGAAGGGCTCTGGACCAATTTTGTTGGAGCTGGGACTAGAAACAAGGGAAAGAAACTCGTGAGCCCTTTTCCTTTGCTGCTGCGCTGCTCGCCCCTCTGGTGACAGTATCGACCTCGGGCCCCAAGGACCGCACAACGTATCTTGTTGCCCTGCAGCATAAATATGCTCCTACATGGCTGACACGCTGGCTCGCCGGCCCAATCCTCGTCCGCCCGCTCAGCCTCGCTGACGTCCGCAAGATGTGCGTAGCGCATGACACTGCACGCAAGTCGCTCGCCCCATGCATGACTCAGGCCCCGGGCGCGGGCTGGCATCTTCCTCCCGCTTCCATTATATCCCTTCCCGAACCAAGAAATGATCGCGCGAGAGCGAGCTTCAAATGTCCCCGAACCACATGCGGCTCGTCCCGAACCTTTCCTATCCGACCCAAACCTGCGACGGGGAATCAATCGAGCGGCTGCGTGAGGTGAGGTGAGGTCAGCTTTCCCGAGGAGCACACCAACGATCCTACGTGTATCCTACGCCGAGTCCTCATCCTCCTCCTGCTTCTCCTTCTCCTCGTCGTTCAAGCCTACACGACACGCACGTCAGACTCCGGTAGTCCAGCTCGTCATTCATTCGGTGATTCAGAGCAGTCCATTCCCGATCATTAGTCCTGTCATTCAGTCGACATAACGACGCCAGGCCCCAGGCGCGAGGTCAGGCGGTACGAGGACCGACACATGTACGCGCGAGGACAGTACCCGCGAGTTCCGTACCGATCAGTCTGAGACTCTGAGCTTGCATCTTTTCGTCCTGTGCCCCGTGCAGTTATTATTGATTCCACCCAATAATTCATCGGTCTGATAGCCCGAGCTCGAGCTGCGGTACGCTGGAGCCGGAAACCATGCAGCAGCTGATCGCTGGTAACCACAAATGATTCGTCTCGCACTGACTGCGAGCACGAACGAGGGTGGCTCAGTTCGACTCGAGGTCGTTGGAATCGACATGTGCGATGAAACTCCTTCGAGCTGCTGAACGTCGCCATATCCTCCTTCCATGATCATAGTCCCGGCCTCGGACTTTCGTCCGGTGATGAACGTGCGGCTGCGGGGAATTTCGGGGAGATATCATGAGGCATGAGGGGCGATATCATGAATTCATGTAGAGGGCTAGGAGCAGAGGACATGGGAGGAATATTGATGAGAGGTATCTAGCGCTTGATTCCAGTGTACTCCGGTGCCGTAATTCTCCATTGATCCGAGTCTACTGGCTCGCTTGTCGGCAAGATGATAAGTAGCGTCAGCGACATATCTAGTCCTGACGCGAGGGGGGAAATTTAGTGGCAGAAGCAGGAACGAAGTGAGGGTCGGAGGGGATTTGTCGTGGGATACGAGGCGTACAGAACGAGAGGGGACCTCGAGGCACGCACGGACGGACAGACGATCGACCAGAGCTTCAGAAGCGCAATTCCATCACGAGTGAAGGAAGGCACGAACGAATGAAGTGCGCTGGGTGTTTCGGAGGCTGAGGGTTACGACGGGGGGTCAGCTCTGGCGTGGCTGCGCATCATGTGGTCACGTTGAAAATGTACTGCAGGGCGCTCCCCGCGTCAGTCTTACAAATCTCCGCTCCATAAATTCCTCCATGCGTTTTCTCGATCACCCTTTTCTCGGACGGCGTACTCAGCCCCATCACAGCAGGACTGGGAATCATCATCGATTTGCTTCTTCGTAAATATTACCTTTGCATGGTGGTACACATTTTTATGAGGGCCTTCCTGTTGACAAGCATAGTGATCGTGAAGTTCGTGACTCTCCATGATTATAAACTGAAGGTGGATATTTGATGATAGTCTCTAAAGTTGTAGTCCGATCCTTTAGTTTTACTCTCCTCTTCAATATTCTCCGACACCCTGCCGATGGCATGGTTTGGGAAAAAGTGTTACTGGAGTGCAAAATAGTGTTCCTCATGATCACAAACTTTTTGTTGAAGTGCAGGGATAATATATCGAACGTTTCTTGAGGATTTTATCTATAAATTAGATTATTATTTATAGTTTCGAGGAAAATGAAGTTATTCATGCTCGATGGAGTAAAGCTAACTTTTAATATTTTAAAAACATCAAATATCTTAGATTCACAAAAATTGAACATGAAGTCATGGCTTGGCACCTAGAAAGTACTTTTTTATTTCATGAAAATTATAATGTTATCCAATATGATTTCATTATCCAGTATGTTCCCTTGAGAGATATATTACTATGTAAAAGAACAGTACGTAGTGGGAAAAAACTTGCGCAAGTACCAAGGCAGCCAGACGAGCTCTACCACTAAAATTGAAATAATGTTTTTGAAATATAGAGAATATAAAATGTTCAAATCTACCAATATATTGTCCAGAAGGCGACTAAACCAGCTTGTCTACCGTATGACCCCGGAAGGTTGATAACAAGACCACATTATTTCTGCTAGTACTGTATGATTCGACTGACAGAGCTGCGGTAGAACATTCAACTACCATGGTAACAGTTTGTTGTGAGTCGTTGTCTTGGTGGAGCATGAGGACGGTTTGATATGTACTTGTTCTAAGTTGGTGGGGGAGACTCCACGTTAATCTTCCCTATGGCAAGAGCAGTTGGTGGAAACATTTGGTGGTTGTGGTCGAGATCGAGGAGTCATAGTGTGAGTTTTGGACATAATAGATTGAATCTGGTGATCGTTTTGGAGAGATCGGAACTAGTTTGATATTTTTCTTTGCTATGTTTTTTACCTCTTAATACACTTAATTCATGGTAGAAATTTCTTGTTATGATACCTTTTATTAACATATAATCATAAAAAAATAAAATAAAATTAGTTGGATGACATATTACGAATTTGATTTTATGTGAGAATGAATCGCTAAAACATTGATAACATGTACTTTTTGCGATGACTTTCAAATGCAAGATCACACAATCTAGATGATATTAAAATTGAAAACTTGTAATATAACATAGTATTGAAGAGATACAAAACTTATGTGTGAGAGCTTATTGAATGAAGATTTATGTCTTCATTATGTTTCATGAGAATGTTCTTGAAACATATTGTTGCAATATATCATAGACGTGTTTTGTATTAAATATTTTATTAAGTTTATATTATTAATTCCATTATTGATCAACTCGTAAATGAACATGAAAGATGCTGTTCATATCTCAAGAATACAAAGTTTTTCAAATTATTTATTGATGTCATACAGTTTGTAGCACACTAAATCAGTAAACATTTGAAAAATTTAATCTTAAATCAAGTTTCAAAATCAATATGTAATTTGAAAAATCTATGACTTCATGTTCAAATTTTGTTTAATAATATATATGTATAAAAAACCCGTGTTGATTTGTGTGATCTACTTATCATATATTCTTTAAAATTTTAGTTTTCAGATAAGCAAAATTAAACATTTCATATGTTTTAAAGAACTTCTACTTATTTACATATTCATTTGCTTAGATGTAAGTTAATTAACGCATTGAGTTGCATATAAATCTAATTAATCATTAGCTCTTGTAACAATATTTTATCTAAGTGACTCTTGTATATATTTGATTTTTTCATTTTTGTTAGGTTTAACACTTAAAAAAAGAAGTCAAATGCATTAGTTGAACATACCCATATCGCATCAATGACTAAATGCACACGTACAGAACCAAAATCAAATATATATGGTTCACCACAACATGCTGTTTCCATCTAATACCTCAAGCTTTAGTGAAAAACCGTAAAATGTGATAGCAAATTTTTTTGGAAGTTTCTTTATATACTTCCGGTTTAACCAGCTCCACTAGTATGAGTCAAGCTAACGTAAATTACCAAAGGACTTGATTAAATTTCTAGTTGTATCTCCTTCAACTCATGTTGTGAGGACTGTAATCTTCACTATATATATATATATATATATATATATATATATATATATAATGCAGAAAAATGAAGGAAAAAATCCTAAAATGTGTTTTTTAACTAGAAATAATTAGATTTCAATATAAGCCAAAAATAAATAAATTATGAGTCTATGTGGAGGTAAAAAAAATTACCTCCACAATATAAGTAGAATGTGTGCTAAATTTTTTCAAAGTAATAAGTTAGATCAATGCATTTAATGAATTTAGCTTATTGTCAATTTAACTATTTCAACTATTATATCAAGATTTGCATCTCTAATAAAGTGGCAAGTAGTGTCAATAAGTGTCACTCTAATATTCATCATTTGAGTTTTAGCAAGATTTAATGCATTCAAACTATCACAATAAACATTGATCACAATTTTATATTCACAGATATCACAATTTTGTTTGGATTTCATCCAAGTGAGACGTATATTCAATAAAATATATTCTTTTCCTTTCTTTGCTGCCACTACTTTTTCAATTTGCATTGTAGACTGAGCTACACAAATTTGCAAAGTAGAATTGTATCTAATGCAATCATCAACAAGTGTAAACAAAATTTCAATTAAAAATCATTTTTTGTTCATATCTTGTTCATTCTCAATATCAACGGATATTAAAAAAGAATTTGAATTTTTTTAATGAATCATCAAACAAAAAACAATTCTTACTATCCTCAAGGTATTTGAGATACCAATTTTTTAGATGCATCTTTTCCAGCTTTGATATATATCTGCTTTTTTGTTCACAACTAGAGCAATATCAGTTCTTGTTAATATCATCAAATACATAAGGTTGTTCATTGATTTGTCATAGTAAACTAATTATATCTTTTCTTTTATTAGAAACAACTGTACCATGAACTTTAGAAAGATTAAAATGTGGAAATAAAATTGTTCATGTTTTTTTCATTTCAATTTAAAAAACATATGTTGAATTTACTTGCCTTGATTCAATTATAGTGTTTCTTCCTTCAAATGTCTATGAACATTCATCTTGAACTTATCCAAATCCTTCATTCAAGACGTAGATTTTAGTCAATTATTGCATTTGTTTACGTCAAATTGTAACGTAAAAACTGAGAATCATTCATCATTCAAAACCACCAACATCAGAGACACGAGAGTATAACATGGTTCACACTCAAGGGCTACGTCCACGGGGAATAGCTTCGTGATAGTATACTGAACGTTCTCTCTAGTAACACACAGACCCTAGGTATATAACCAAACACCGACGATCACTCTTAGCTATAGATAGCTAAACGTCAGGTTACTCCTTGACCGGAGTTAACCTCAACACCAATGACTTTCATGCAAAAATAAACATGTCAATCACGTAAAGAATTGAAAGATTAATGAAATTAAAGATTCCTTTTTTTATTTTTTTCATATAGTCACATAGACATATACACTCTTTGAAAATCTTTGTACTTTAATGAACTCATCAAATCTTGCATTTATTGTTTAGAAGCTTGTATTTATCTATACAATTTTTCAAATATCTATACATTAATTTGTATAAAAATATTTTTATTCAAAGCTAATTCATTGTTTTATGTAGATTTTATCCTCCAAAAATTCAAAAAAATGCTGATTTGATGAAATTCAACGAAATTCATAACAAGACTAGATATTAAATCAAATGCACATACCGGTGAATTGTATCATAATTTGATATAGATGAAATTTTTCTTTGTAATACAGATTATATTTATATTTGAAACCTCTAGTCAACATGGCTTGAAAACTTTTCTTCTCATTATTTATTAGATTTTTATTCAACTTATACATACACTTATTTCATTGAAAGCTTCACTAGTTTTCATATTTTATTATCAATCAATGGTTGCATCTTATGTCTACAATAGTATTGTAATGTGAAAGATTAGAGTTTGTTACATAAACAATGTATTTCATTTTTTAATGCATTGTCATCATGCATAATTTGATTAATCTTTTTAATAGGCCATCGACATTTGTGAGTGAAAATGTGTTCTTGTAAGTTTGATAAGCATGAAAAGATTTTCTACATTGAATGATCTGAATTGGTAAAAATAATAAAACATATACAAACAATTAACTTAGAATTTATTCAATTTCAAAATTTATAATTCTTCACATCTCTAGCATATTTAAAAAAAAACACTTTTTAAATATCACATCTAATTTCATATTAAATTTTGTAGATTTGAAAGTATAAGTTGTATAATTGTTTTTCAAATACTTCAATAATAAGTCATTATTTTATTATTTTATTCAAAAAATTGATTGCAAAAAAAGTGCAAAAAAGTTAATTTCTGCAATAAAATTTATTTTGCAAAAAATAACTTTTTTTTATCAATCAAAATATGAAATTAACGGCATCAATTCAAGATTCATAGAATAAAAATGATTGGTTCAATATATTGCAATACTTCTCCAACATTATTCACTTGGACTTATAACAAGTTTTGTTGTAAACCTTGATGAGATTACTCTTGACAGTAAGTTTTAAAATTTTCAAAGATATATTCCTTCCGGCATTATCAATATGCAGTCAACTAATCTTGTACTCACTCTAAGTTTCAACTTGGACCTTTCAAATAACTCATCATCTCAAACTTTTGGATGAATACGTAAATTCACACAAATCTTGAGTATTCGTCAAAAAATGATACTTAAGATTAACTTTCAAAAGTGATATTTCAAAAAAAAGATTCCAAACATCAATATGTATCTAATCAAGAAACATTTCTAAAATTTGAAGTTCAAAATTAAACTATATCCATGACTTTTGCCCATTACATTATTTTCATTATATTCTAAGTTAATTTACCTATGTCGAGTAGTAACATGCTCCCTAAAGAGCGTTAAGTATCTAAAATTCATGTATTTAAGCATAAAATGCCATACATAAGTAATTTCAACTGAGAATTTAATTTGACTGACTCTATCATAGATGATTACGCCCTCAAGAATCTATAGATTGTTATGCTTGTGTTTTTTACATAATTTCAAACCTCAAACGATTCATTTATAGAGCTTCATTCAAGTATTTTTCTGTCTAACATTCTAAAACATACATATTTCTTTTAATCAGATAAAAATATTATTTGAATTACTGTAAGTTTGATGAAATCAAAATGTTGAATCTCAACAAATCCAATATTTTCAATATTAACGGTTTGAAAAAGTATAAAAAGTTTGACAATGTAAAAGATGTGATATTAACAAGCATTATCTAGAATAGA